ATGAATTTTTGCCATAGCGACCGCCGAAGTGTGAGACGGTGCGTTATCTTGATGGAACAGCACTTTCTTCTTTTTCAAATGCGGTCGTTTTTTCTCAATTTCTGCCTTCAGCTTGTCAAGCAATGATGCGTAGTACGTCCCTGTTATTGTTTTACTTTTTTCAAGATAGTTGATCAAAACAGTTCTATGACTATCCCAAAAAACAGTCGCCATCACCTTTCCTGCCGATAAAACCGTCTTCGCTTTCTTCGGAGCAGGTTCACCCTTCGCAGTCCACTGTTTTGATTGTTCTTTCGTTTCAGGAGTGAAGTGATGGACCCAAGTTTCATCAACCGTTATTAATCGACGCAAAAAATCCGACTCGTTTCGCTTAAACCGCTTCAACAGGAGCGCTATTCCGTTCCCGCGTACCGACAACCGTCGGATCGGTACAGGAACGATATTTATCGGTTGCACAACCGACAACGATACACCTCGGCTATTCTGTATATTGCACGTAACAACATCTATCGTTGCAAGTGACAATCATCGACTACATTTACACGGCACCTTTAATCGAGTTTAATAACATCCGTAGTTATGAAACTGGCCAATTACAATCATTCCATTCTCCCGAGGAAAAGCTGTGATTGGCCAATTTCATAACTACAGATGTTATTAAACCCGATTAAGCGTGCCGTGTAGCAGAGCTCGGCACGATATGTACAGGCACGATAGAAATACTAAGAATAGTATTTTTCGACCAGTAGCAGCAAAGTTTCATGAGAAAGCACACTGGTGTAGTAAGTGCGTGAGAAGTGTACATCATTCAAATTCGAGAACGGATCGGAATTTGTGGAGATTGCATCGTCTCTTATTTTTTTAACTAACTACGCCGAGTTCATCGTGCATTGTATTCCAATTTTGATTTTGTAGTTACGCCGAGCTCATCGTGCATTGTGTTCCCATTACAGACTTTGTTTGCTTAATAGCACTGATCATTCAGCTGAGGAGATTATATGTGAAGAAGAAGAAGAAGCCTTAATACAATGGATGAAACGTATATACATACATATTTATTAAATAATATGTATAATAAATATAGAGAAATTAACAAGATTGGACTTATATAGAAGTTTTTTTTAAGTCAAGTAAATAGTCCTATATTATTCCTCTTTCTGTATATTGATATATGCATTCAAATTAATTTAGAATTATATATTATAGTGCAAAAAAGAGTCGTTCTACAAGGACAACTGCACTGCAGTACGAAGAATTAGTAAAATACATGGAAACTCATTCGGAATTTGCAGCAAATAAATTTTTGACGAAAGAAGGAAGAATTAGGCATAATCAACAGTGGAATGATTTGCAAGAAATGCTTAATACATTAAGTAATGGGCCTAGCAAGACCACGAAGCAGTGACAAACTGTAAGTATTTACACAAACGTACATACACATACTTATATATTATATACATATAATTCTATTTGACATGGAAAATTCTAGATTCACACATCTCTAGTATACAATAATGCATTTGCACAATATTATTGTACATATTGTCATATATTCAGGTTTGGCGTGATCTAAAAAGTAATACATCGAAAAAGGCTTCAAAGTTGAGGAATGAAAGAAATCGAACGGGTAATTTCCCTATAAATGCAGAACCTTTGGACAGCTTAGAACAACGTGTTATAGCCACTATGGGTTTAGAATATGTACAGGGCGCATCAAATTGTCCAGACAGTATTCCAGAAGAAGAAGTACAGTTAACGTCTTTGTTTATACAGATTATTTGATACATGCAGCAACTAGTAACCTTGTATTACATTTTATATATCAAGCTGCTTTTATCCCATATAAAGTGAATTGAAATTTTTACGAATATGTTGAAAAGCAATTTTTTAAGAACACGCGTTTTTTATTCTGACGGAGAGAAAGAGAGTGTGAGTGAGAGAAAGAAGCCTAATTTTTCATACAATTATTGCTTTACATAACACAACATCATATGTTTCCTATATAATCGCATATATCATTTCTGCATCATGTATTCATCTTATTAATCTGTTTGTAGGAATATCAGATACAACTAGAGAATGGTAACGAAAATGTTTTACAAATTCCACCTGCAACAACATCTATGAGGATTTTATTAATATAGAGAACATAAGGCATGAAAATAATAACAGTAAGGAAATTTTTACAAAAATTATGTACTTTTTATGCTTACTTAATACTATTATGTTATTACATATTAAGATAATATTGTTACGGAAATACTCGAAGAGAATATGGTTGATGACCTTGCTTATGTGGATATTTTACAATGCTGCAATAGAACTACTACTTCAAGAGACACAACTGCTGAAGAAAGGGCTACAAATAGAAAGAAAAATCATTAAACAGAAACCATCTAACAGCAATGCAAAAAGAAGTGGGGAAATTATGCAAAACAGTAATACCTCTTATATCGTACATGAAATCTCTCGTATCATACATGTTAAATGATTAGAGATGTCAAGAAATGTATAAAAAATTTTAGGCAGAATAACATTCCGATTTTTAGTTACATAATGATAAATTTCCGTTAATAATAAAAAAATTAGATATTCTTAGGGGCTCTGCACAATAAAAGGAACAGGGAATACAGAACAGAGAATAAGAATTTTAACCTATCAGAAATCATGTATTACGGAATACGCAGTGTGTATTCCACAATACATGATTTCTGATAGGTTAAAATTCTTATTCTCTGTTCTCTGTTCCCTGTTCCTTTTATTATGCGGAGCCCCTTACCAAACCATTATTGCAAAAAATAACTTGTAATGATATCGCGTTACTTCCTCAGAGGGAGAATTCATACTTTGACAGAAAGCAGATAAGCACCAACCAATTAGAACTCGCGTTGATAGTAAATAATGTACGGTGTGTAAGTAAAAACTACATTCTGTTTAAGCGGGGAGCACAGACTTTTAAATAACGCATATACATAAACCATATACATAAGAAATTTCATTAGCCCATTTCTTTATGTGTGAGTTAATGGGCCAATCAAATTCTTTATGTATATGGTTTATGCGTTATGCAAAAGTCTGTACTTCCCGCTTTACTATAAGCAGAAAGTATTCTGTTTACTATAAGCGCGAGTTATGTTCTGCTTTTCTGTCAAAATGTCCTCCCTAAATTACGTGGTATTAATACCTTAAAAGCATATTTGAGATTTAAATATAAAAATTATTATGCATTACATGGAATCTAAAGCGACTCTCTTGAGACATTAATATTATTTATTTGTTATTTTACAGAGAGAAAAAAAACAACGAATTGGTGTGCAGCTGCAGGAAGCACGAGACAAATTTACACAAATTGCTGAAAACCACACCGAAGCTCTGCAAGGCCGCGTTCCAAAACGTAACTTTGGTTACTAAAAAGCTATAGTTTACGTTACGTTAACTATAGATTTCAGTTACCAAAGTTGCGTTTTGGAACGCACCCCAGGTAATGTATTTCTTGTTGAAATACTGTATCTTATTAGGCTGCGTCCCCATGGAGAAAGAAACAGCGGAACGGAATGTGAACGGAATGTTGATAGAAAAGAGACAGGATGATCCTATCTCTTTTCTATCAATATTCCGTTCACATTCCGTTCCGCTGTTTCTCCATGGAGACGCAGCCTTAGAGAGGATTCACATCTTAACAGAAAAGCAGAAAGGAGAAAAACAGCAGCCAATGAAATTTTGCTTTTTTGCTTTCTGCTTTTCTATCAAGGTGCGAATCTTCCCTTAGATTTAAAGAGTTTGTTATATGTTACGCGTAAAATAATCTTAACAATTGTTCAAATTATATTTTTACGTTTAATTATTGGCAGAAGCGTCTATGAAACAAGCTGAAGCAGCATTATTAAAAGCCCAAACTGAAGAACGACGACTTGAATTGGAAGAACAACAAATGAGATTTGAAGAAAAAAAACGTCGCATAGATGAGCAACTTATTCAAGTTATAAATAACTTGCAAGAGGTATTAAATGAAAAGTTAATGAAGTAAAAAAGTTATCTTTATTTTATAACATTAATATATACTATTAAACATGTATATGTATATATTTACAATAAAACATGTTATTTCATATTCTGCCATATTCACGAGCAATGAA